ACATGAAAGATTCCTTGTTCCAATCATACATGGACCCCTCCCCACAACTCTTTCAACGACATCATTGGTGCTACTTACCTCTCTTGTTCTGAACTGGAAAAATTTATCAATTTCGTTTCCAATTTCCGTCCTGCTCTCACCTTCACCTGGTCCATCTCCAACTCCTCCTTCCCTTTCTGAATGTCCCTGTTTCCATTTCTGGGGATAGGTCCATTACAAAAACTATTATCGTTGGTGGAAAATATTTCAGAAACTACAATAATGGGATAGCAATTGGTGTACAATCCTGTAGGGATTGGAACCAGCTGGATCTTGTTAACTACAAGATCCTTGATTGAGGTTGTTAACCTGGGCCAATCAGGAAAGCCCTGGCTGATCTACACCAACTTTTACAGATGCACCATTGAAAGCATACTGTCTGGGTGCATAACAGCCTGGTATGGCAACCGCTCTACCCAGCACCGTACGAAACTACAGAAGTTTGCATGCATAGCCCAGACCATCAAGGAAGCCAAACTTCCATTCATGGACTCCATTTGCACAGGTTGCTGCCGCAGAAAGGCTGCCAACATCATCAAAGACCCACCGCACCCCGGTAATGCCCGTCAGGCAGAGGATGCAGAAGCTTAAACACATGCACCAACAGGTTCAGGAACAGCTTCCTCTTGGCCAATATTAGACTGATGAATGGACTCTGTAACTTCAAATACTGCTTATCTTGCTAATGTTGATCTTGCCTAGCCCATGCGTGGTGTGACATATCTGTATGTCTCTCTAAGTTTTTTGTTAATTTTTATTACCTTATGATCTGCTTACTGTGATTTGACTACTGCTCGTAGACGAAGCTTTTCCCTGTACTTAGGTACCCATGAAAATAAATAAATCATATCAAATCAAATATAACCATGGGATTTAGAATCTCCTCAGTTCAGGGGACTGACTGGCCACAGAGTAAATAAAGATGACCTTATGATGGGATACCGGTTTCTGTGCAGTTATTTCGAATGCCAAATGCATTATCAACTAAGTCCAGCTTCCAAAGTGGCTCACTTTTATATATTCACATCCTCCATAGATAACGAGTGCAAGTTCAGGAGTTGCACCTTTCTCTGAGAAAGTGAATATGTGGAGGGCAATACTTCCTCAATGCAAAAACAGAAATTGTGGGAGAAACCTCAGGTCAGGCTGTGGAGAGAGAAAGTGTCAATGTTTCAAGTCCAGTGACCCTTCTTCTGAACTTGGTGCACTGTTCTTAACCGGCCACTTATCAACTCAATCATAACATTTTCCCCCAATCCTGTGGCATAAATTGTTGTTCCCTCTCAAATCTGGCAAGTCTTGAACCTGCCCTCCTGAGGTGATGAACCTCTCTCTCTCTCTTTATTGAGGCGAAATATTGTTTTTGACTTGGAAACTTGGTGGTTACAATAGACGAGGTGGTGCGGGGAGGTTGGGCACTTACCTTTCGCCACTTTCCAATCGGTGGTGGACCAGGAAGGATTAAACTCCTCGCGGGACATCCCTGAGAGGCAGGCGGACGCCAACGAGTGAGGACTGCGGAGCCGGCGGCCGGCGCACAGTAGCCAGCGCGCAAGCGCAAGGCCGCCGGCCGCCGACTGTTGTGACCGTTGGATTCGAAAAACGTTCGAAACGGGCGGCGCGCGAAACGGCCCCCAGCCCCAAGGAAAACGGCCCCGCCTCAGCACGGCGAACAATTTCTCCATCCCTTCGTTTCCGGCCCACCACCAACTCCCGAGCACCTTTATCGCTTCTCTGTACTCAATGGCTGACGGCGCTGTCGAGGTCGTTGCAATGATTTTTGTATTTTTTTGGAGGGGGGGGGTGTTCGTTTAATTTTGGGAAGGGGGAACTCCAGGTGAAGCAAGCGCTTCCGGCACACGTGACCGCTCGGGCGAATCGGGCAACGGAAGGGGCGCAAGTCGGGTGCATCGCCCTCTGGGAAGTGTAGTTTCCAGGCTTGTTATCCCAATCGGTCGGGGTGTGGGCTGTGGGGTTTACCTGTGCATCACCCTCTGGGATTTGTAGTTCTCTGCCCGCCCGAACCAATCGGAAAGCAGAATTTGGGCGAGAGGCCTCAAGGAGCATTGCCTTTTGGGATTTGTAGTTCCCTGCTTTTGTTTTGTTTATAAACTATATTTCAATGCGTGTCACTGTCCAATAGACACAAAAGTATCACGGGACCCAATGTTCAGGAGAACTGACATAATCATAGCTTGTTCTTAAGAACACAGGATATAGTAGCAGAATTATACCATTCGGCCCCTTGAGCCTGCTCAGCCATTCAATAGGATAATGGCTGATCAAACTTCCTCACGTCCACTTTCCTGACCGTTCCTTGTAACTCTTGATTCCCCAATTCATCAAGAATCTATTGATCTCAGCCTTTAATATACACAGGGACTCTACCCTTCACAGCTATCTGTGGCAAAAGAAGGCTTAAATTGGCAGCCTGTTATTCTGAAAGTATGCCCTCTCGACCTCGACTCTCCCATGAGGGGAAACATCCTCTCCACACTTACACTGTCAAGCCCCTCAAGAATCCTATATGTTTCAATGAGATCACCTCTCATTCTTCTAAACTCCAGTGAGTAAAGTCCCACCTTATTTAGCTTTGCTCATAAGACAATCCCTCCATACCAGGGATCATCCTTAATGAACCTTCTCCAAACTGCCCCTGTTTAAATAAGGGTCCAGACTACCCACAGCAGTCTAGATGTGATCTACCCAGCTACTTATACACTTACAGTGAGACATCCATACTTTTATACTCTAACTGCCTTGAAATAAGGGACAACATTCCATTAGCCTTCCTGATTACCTTTCCCCTTTCTTTTATTATTTTATTTCAACTTTAATAACATTCCTCTTCGCCCTCCGCCTCCTTTGGGGAGGGGGGGGGAATCACTCACCGCTCGCTCCCCTCCATCTTCAGGCTCCGTCCGCCCGGACTAGGCCCCGTTGCTAAGGCAACCCGGCGTCCGCGCACCGTCCCCTCACTTCCGGTTCCCCCGGCGGTCGACTTCCGGTCGTCCGCACCGCTTTACCCAGCCCCGTCCACGCGACTTCCGTTTTCCCCGCCCATCTACTTCCGGTCCTCCGCTCTTTTCTTTTCCTCCGCTCCATTCGTTTTCCCCCGTCTACTTCCGGTCCTCCGCTCCTTGCTGTTTTCCCCCGCTCCTTTCGTTTCCCCCGTCTACTTCCGGTCCTCCGCTCTTTGCTGTTTTCCCCCGCTCCTTTCGTTTCCCCCGTCTACTTCCGGTCCTCCGCTCTTTGCTGTTTCCCCCGCGACTTTCGTTTCTCCGGTCCTCCGCTCCTTTCGTTTCCCCCGTCTACTTCCGGTCCTCCACCCCCACCTCCACCAACCCGCCAGGCGACTTTCGTTCCCCTCGGAGGTACAAAGCACCAAGCCGATGCTGCAGTCGGTGCCTAACACAGTGTGGAGCTGGAGGGACACAGCAGGTCAGGCGCCATCAGTGGAGCAGCAGTGTCGACGTTTCCGGTTTACACCCGTCATCGGGGACTTGCGTTCCCCCGTCTATTTCCGGTCCTCCGCCGCTCCATTTCCCCCCCCCCAACTCTCCCCCCAACTTCCAGGTTCCGCCCTGATTGTTGGCTCCCAACACATTATTATCGCTTTTATAAATATTTCCAAATATCTATGTCTGTGCTAACAGCTGCCGCTCCATCTGTCTTTTAAAGAAGAATACCGGCCCTGTCTGTGGTTAAACTAGCTTTCCAGCTTTTGCTGACATCAAAACATTCACAGAATCTTAAAATGCAGGCCATTCAACCCATCCAACAGGTTCTAACCCTTTGAGGAAAATGGCTCCCATTCAGGGCAGCTCAGTGATTAGCACCGCTGCTTCTCAGCACCAAGGACCTGGGTTCAATTCAAGCCTCGGATGCCTGTCTGTGTGGAGATTGCACGTTCTCTGTGTGTGCATGGGTTTCCTCCCACAGTCCAAAGGTGTGCAGGTTAGGGTGGATTGGCCGTGCTAAATTGTCCCGTAGTGCC